AAATGAGACGTCTTCCAGCTCTACATGACCTTTCTTTGCAAAGTTATAGAATTTACAAGAAAAGCCCTAAATTAATTTCTCTGTAGCTTTGAGCTGACAATAAACATTTAGGGCTTTTCTTGTAAATTCTATAACTTTGCAAAGAAAGGTCGTGTAGAGCTGGAAGACGTCTCATTTTAATCAGAAATTTGTTGGCTACATTTATATCTCATTAAAAGAAGGGTTTAGTTATCTTTTAGAGTTCTTGAAAAACTGGTTTTCCAGAAAACGGGGTCTTCAAGAGTCATGGACCCGAACCCTTTTAGGATTTTCTTAGTCTCACTGAGTCCTACTTATAGCCAAAATATGGGGTCAAACGGCGTCCGACAGTTGGATAGGTCCCCTCGTTAGTTTTGTAGTAAACTACAAAACTAAATTCACTGTTCTGTATCTATATTCTGTACAACGATTAAAGTTGTTCAATCGATCATCTGATTCTGTAGCAACATTACATTTTTCGTGTAAACATCTAAGTATGGCTTATGTGCTATGACTGACATAATTTAACGGAATGGCTATTGACACCACTGCGTGTTAGCACTAAGAGTTATTGACACCGAGTGGAGGTGGCATGCAGGGCTGTTGATATCTCTAGGATTTAGCGGCCGAACCAGGGCTTGTCATTCAAGAGGTGTCAAGATATGCTATTGGTACCTCCATGCTTAGAGGTGGTAGGAAGAGCTATTGACATCATTCAACGTATGTTGGAGCAATTCATTGGGTGTTTCTTCTTACCATCTCAACCATGGAGGTGTCTATAATCCTTAGTGCCACCGCTGAGAGGTGTCAATAGCCCTTGCTGACACCTCCTAGCGATGTCAATAGATCCACCCATCATTAAATGGCTGACTTTTTCATCGTATTCTAATCGATGAAAACGAAAATACTAGGGAGTCTATTAATCGACGAGAGAGCTATGTCTGAGATTTCTAGAACGTGAAACAGAATTTCGGTGTGTTAATCGTGCACAGACGCTCGAACGTGCCATCGGACAAAGTTTTTTTTGTTAAAATATTAAGTCAGAAGTTCCGTGCTATCTATTGACTATCACTTACAAAAGTATATATATGATTTTTTCGAAATTTTGTTTCGCTGCTGCGACATTTCATGTTTTCTTATGAGAGATCTTGTATAATAGAAATATAGAAAGAAAAGGAATCGTTTCATCATGATTTTCGACCGATTAAAACTTTTTATGGGTTCGATTTTCTTTTTTGCCAACGTTGGATATGATGATGCTTTTTGTTTTTTTGTTTCCTTTGTACATCTTTCAACTGACGTTAATTGATCAAAATTTTGTTTTAACTGCCGAATCAAAACTATATTATTCATTTCTTGTGCAATAATTAACTTTTCTTCTATCATTTCTTGACAAGATAATAAGAGTTTCTCATACTGTACATATCCTAATTTGAAGTAAACATGTTGTAAAAATTTACAGAGTTCGTTCACATCTGTAATTTCCTCATTCGGATACTGTTGTATGAACGTTAGTTCTAATAATGGTCTCTCAAAATAATAATAATATATTGATGCCAAATTTGATACCCGTGATTTTAATATTTTCGGCAATATTGTCGTCACATAAATTTTTGTTCTTGGTGAAAATAATTCGTAGCTGGGCAATGGTTTATTATTTTGATGATAAAATGCATAATATGGGTTTTAAAGTTCTCTATATTGACTACCCTCATAATAATTTATTTTTTGACTCGTACAGTTTTAATTTGATCCATGATAATTGTCTTTCCAAAAGATGCTTAGAATGAGTGCAACTGAGAAATGATTGAACAATTATTTTTAGCGATGTTAATGCAGTGCATAACGATGGAAGGCTACTTTCATTTCAGGAGCAACATCCCATTCGGTTGACTAAATCAAGAGAAAACATACAATTAATAATTAACATACAGACCACCCTTTAGAACTTGACTTGAGAGACAAAATAGAAGACCAGGTGGTCTTCTATTATGAGGGTGGGTTTACACGAAAAGTTGGCTAAACATGTCGTTAACACGGCAACTTTTACGCCTATTAACATACGGTGCAAAAATAATAGTAATAATGGTAAACTCTTTTAGACCGTATCGCCAATTTCTAAACCAATCAAACTCTTTTTTGTTGGAAAGAGCAAAGTCTGAACTACAAGTTTTGTACTAGACATATTTTTCCAGAACGAATCTGAGAAGGAAAAGTCAAAAACCAAACACCTCTGAAAAAGTCCTTGCAACGTTTTTGCAACTTGAAAATTTGCATTTCTCAATTATTTCGAACTCCATGTGTCAGACTTGAACAAAAAATACATCAAAATGTAGCGAATCCAAAACTCTATTGATATCAACATTGGTAAAAGTTTTAGATCCGTTCTTGACTGTTTAATCGAAAACGTTTTAAACATAAATTTTTTTGTAAAATCGAGTCTTTTGCAAAACTATCACTTTGCAAGAAAATCAGCCATCATCTTCAGAAATCATGCATGAACTCAATTCTTTTTGCGTTATTTGTTAGAAATATGTCCGATCGTAGAAATCTTGCAAAAAAAAATCATTCAAAAAAGAGTTTTTATCGTTGCAAAATGGCCAGGTAGTAAGAACGATCAACTTATTTAGTCTCTTTCAGAAAAAGCTGTATTTTGGTACAAAAATCAAGAGTAAATATTTAACTTCCAATATCCCATTGGAAAGAGTACTCTTCTTTACGCTAAAAAAATCACCATTTAACGTGTTTTCTCATTTCTCTTCGGATGAAAAACAACTAATAGAAAATAGAAAATAATGTTGTTTCATAGCGAAGTTACAAGGACTTTTTCAGAGGTGTTTGGTTTCTGACTTTTCCTCCTTCTCAGATTCGTTCTGGAAAATTATGTCTGATACAAAACTTATAGGTCAGACTTTGCTTTTTCCAACAAAAAAAAGTTTGATTGATTTAGAAGTCGGCAATACAGTCTAATAGAGTTTACCATTATTGCCATTACTTTTGCACCATATGTTAAATTCAAAAACTCTCCAAATGTACTTACTCTCTCCATTCTGATTGATTCTAATATTTCACCTTTAATTTCTAAAAGCTCACTGTTCGTTCAGCGAGGACACCCCTTTAAAGTATTTTCGAAGCCAAATGGGTAAATACCATTTGGATTGTCGTGATGTCGAATAAAATCCACGCAAATTTGTTGACCAACTTTACAGATGAGTTTCAACAGTTCAGCTGGATCATGTTGGTAATTTAGCAACGTAAATAATTGACCAATTGTTGAAGGAGATATTAAAGAGCATGAACAGCATTGTTTGCCAGAGACTAGAATAAAGACAAATGTAGCAGTACAAACGATGGTGTTTTCCATAATCTAACATCCAAGTCAAATGAAATTCCTACTTGTATACTCTGTCCTTCCGCCATTGCTTACTTATTAATTGTAATAATAATGAAAGTTCGGATAATAAAATTTCTGCGTCAATAAATAATTGTTTTCATTTTTCATCTAGAGTCGTATATAACGAATTGGAAGACATGAAATCATTAGGTATCGGCGTCTAAATGAAAACTGAAATAACTATTTCGGTCAATTTCAGAAAAGAATGCGTGTGGATTGTTTCGAAAATATCTTGGGAATAAAAGAGTTAGAGAACCGTGATTTTCACTTGTAAGAGAACGTTGGACTAGTGACTTTCAGGAAAAATCTGTTTCAAAATCATTCATCACAGCTGACATCTTTGAAAAACTAGATTGGTATTCCGAAAGCTGCCATACAAATCTCTTCATTTTCTTTGAGGGATAGATAGCCCAAAGTGTCTTCTTGAAACCTTTTAATTTACATGGTTCCGGCGCAACATAGAATTTCCTCGTAGTTCCAAGATCTATATTCGCTTGGGTGTGGTAATCTCGACTCTTCTGACTCTTTCGCGAAGTTTTCGGCATAGAGCTTAAGAAAACTTGCCAGTTTCTCGTATGTTTAAAACAGTAGCAACACAAAACCGAGTGTTATCCTCGAACCTACCAGATACCACGTGTTTAATTTCAGGTTATGTTGAAGTATTGTACTTAATTTCATATCAGGTCATGCGACTACCTTTACAATAAAATTGCTTTTCCAACTCCATCTCCCACCTCGAACACGCATATGCATACCTTCCACACACTTTATTAATCTTTGCCAGTGTACTCTCGCTGAGATAATGTGTAAATTATTATGGGGGAAAATTCACGGAACGTATCACCATTCCAGATTGTCGGTGACACGACTGTTTGGTGAACGACTATGCGTCAATGCGGAATCGACTAAAGGAAAAATGCTTCAACATTGATAATGCTCTGTAGACCACGTTCCCAATGTTAGCAGAATGATTGTTTTTGTATTATATACCTTTTTATTTATCAATGGTAAGAGAGCATAATTAAGAGATAATTGTTCAGCATCAAATGTTAATTGACAATATGGACATGATTTTTTACTATCAACGTTTTGAATACACATTTTACATATTGTATGGTGACATTGGGGCAGGATTAGTGGACAATATTCATCAGTATTAAACTTAAATGCACAAACAGGACAATAAATCGGATTAGAACTCCACTTCAACTGATGCCGTAAAATTAAATTTTTGAAACGTTCATTTAAACCATTGAATGAATGATAAACAGCACAGTCCTCAAGGTAATGAAACATGTCATATAATAACTGATTGGGAAGATCTTCAAAGCGAGACATCTAAAATAAGAACACAAAATTAGTAAAGAAAAGACAGACGGACACGATAGTAATCATTATAACCTTTTTGTAACTATGGTCAATTAAGGATTTGCATTGCTTTCAAGAGTTTTACATAAAGACTTGAAATGTAGATTTTTTCCTTCTTTAACTCATCGCGAGCAAACCTTTCGATAATAAATTTTTCTTCTCCTCGTGCACCACTTCAGAAGTAAAAGAAATGAGTCACAGAACATTCTACAGCAAAAAATATAGTAAATACCATACAATTTTTTGAGAGAAACAACCAGTTTTTATGCTAAGAAAACCAACGATCTCAAGTTTTCGAACTATATGATCTACTCATACTTTAAAGAATTTCAAAACTTGATATTTCATCTTTCAGTAGGTCGATTGAACTACAGTTCTAAGTTGACCTAAAAACATTCTATATGATTCTGAGACAGTATATTGATAAAATATGAAAAAAGTATGAGACTTGTTTTCTAGTTTTATTTTATAAACCTTGAATTAAAAACGCGTAAATTTAATATGAATGTCTCATTTTTTCATCATAATTTTCAGTGGATGGTTACAACTTTTTATTAGTTCGATGTTCTGTTTTCGATGTTGAAGCTTTTTGGCTACTTCCATGTCTTTTAAGCGATGACAGTTTACTGAACGCCTCTCGATAGGTAATACCCGTACCGGTTAAAACCAATCTAGGGCTCTCCAAATTCCCTCCAATTTCTGTGAACGGATCGACGTAGCAATTAATTTTAAGGTTGTATAAAAAATTCTCACCGTACATCCTTAAAGAATACTGAAGATTAGATAGTGCTTCCGTATGCTGCATTTGTTTTCTGCTGAAATCATATGCCTTTGATTAATGTAGAAAGCTCATTTAACAGTTTTGTTGAGGGATTGAAGTTAAAAATGTTCTCAGAACAAATGTAGAGTTATTTTTGGTATCCATTTTGACACTGTTAATCCTTCAAACTCAATAACTCTTTCTGTAATAATAATATTAATAATTTTTAATAAACAGAAGAGTATTGGGTATTATTGAACAGCAAACAAGTAGCTGCGATCCATTCTTCTGATAATCAATATGAGCAACGACAAATGCGTTACATAACCCAAATTCTATACATTCATTTTTCTTTGAATGATGTTGAAAAACTGAGGTCGATTTTAAAACTTTGCGAGCTTCTCTTGCATCTGTAATTATTATATGACCAGTTCATGTTAATAACCTTTTTGAATAAAAAATCTTTACGAAAGGACTAACAAGACTTAATAGTCGTATAATAGTGAATGTCATAAAAAGCGTTTTTCAACTATATGTAAACTCCTGCTTAGCAATAATGGTTGTATTTAAGCTCTTACTTGACCCTAATAATGGTGTTAAAATTCTTGCTTATGTTCAAAATTCTCTGAAGCACGAATTCATATACAGCCGTTAGTTGATATGATTTAGTTACCATTCCTGTTTTCTTTGAAAATTAAAATATGTTCATATGTTTTGCTTCTTATCGTTCTTCAAAGTAGGTAGACATTACTTTTTGTTTCTTTTTCGCACCTGCTTCTTTACTTTCGTCAAGATCAAACAAAATTCGAAAAGCCAACATTCGCCATTGTTTCCTTATCACTCACCACTTTAAACTTCTCCACGGCTTGTCCAGCTAACGGTCTCCTTTTTTCTCTCTTTTTCAAGGAACTATGACAATAAAGTTAGAAAATAATCTAAAATTACAACTAGATAATTGAGTACACTCTAGAAAAAAATGCGACTTCTAAGAAGACATAAGTCGGATCCCAAAAAGCCGCATTTTAGTGACTCCTTTGAAGACACATGATGTGACTTTACCTGATAGTCACTTGCTATGATGATGACCCTTGAATAAAGGTCGAAAGCTCGAGTAGTGTTTTAAGTGATAACTTGAACATGCATTTTGTCGCAGTGCTATATTTCTTCTGTTCTTCTTCAAAACATTTTTGTTGATATGTACACTTTTTTCTTTTTGTCATTCACTCCTGATGATGACCCTTGAATAAAGGTCGAAAGCTCGAGTAGTGTTTTAAGTGATAACTTGAACATGCATTTTGTCGCAGTGCTATATTTCTTACTTAAATAAAAAAAATACGAATGTGTCCAGTTTTGAAGAAATTAACTGATTGTATTTATTTTTCACGTCAGAATAGAAACTGATCAATATTACAAAGGCGTAAACCGACGTTTGAGCGCCCGACACTTGAGCGACCGACGTTTGAGCGACTCTGACATTAGACACTTTTCAATATGACTTTTTGCCGATCAGGAAAGTCGAATGATTATTCACTTCGATAACGATGATCAGAACAATTTTTTTGTATACTGGTGAATGAAGAACTTCGTGCATAAACACACCTCACCCTCTCTACATGCAAAAAAAATTCTCTCTTTTTGTCATGGACAACGCCCTAAAACGCAGTTTTATCAGGGACAATACGACATATTTTCCTAAAGAAGGAAAGCCATGACTCGTCTTCTCAGTGGATATGTTACAGCTCGCAAACATTAAAAACGCAAAGTTGTCTTCCCTCGAAGGCGATAACATTGTATAACGTAGTTGAACCCGTTAAGTTAGGTCGTGCCTAGCCCAAGAAGAAACAACTTTGGCCGGCTATACATTAGTCGACTCAACCGTGAAGTCTTCCAGACAGAGGAGAAGCAGAGCGTCATCCATTCAAGCAATAACTCTCCTGAATAACAGCAAACTTTTAAGATCCATTCCACAGGTCGAAGTTCCATAATTTGGCTTCTCGAAAGTAGATGGTTGCAGCGTGATGATGATAAAGACAAAAATGCCTCTAAGTATGCAAATCAATTAAAAAGCACACAGTCCGTATGTAAACTTCGGCGATAAAGGGCTCTTAGTGAATAATGTTTATTCTGTTATATCGATACGTTGCCTAGTTGATTATTTGTTAATTTCTTTTAAGTCAGTTAAGGGTATTCATCCTGAAAGGGTGAGAAAATTCTATTTCAGATACTCTGTTTAGATATAAACATTGCAGACAATCAATACAAATGCATTTTGTATTAACAGAGTTTGGTGGGATTTGATCCTAATATAGGCTGCAAGTCATATAACATTTTTTGTCTGAGTACATGGTAGTTCTTGCAATCCGGAACAAAGTGTCTAGTCGACTCTTTCTCCACACAAGCGCACAAATCGCTAGGAACAAGGTTTCTTTTAAATAGTGCTTCATGAATAGGCGGAAAATGAGTAGCAAACTGGACAAAAAAAATTTCTACTCTTCTCAGAGCGGTGGGCCTTTTAAAATACGTAAGAAAATATTTTTGAAACAACACAATTTTTGAAAAAACTAAATTTTTTAAATGTATTAATTGTCCGTAAGTCTTTCATGCTCTTATTATTCCATTCTTCAACACACACAGGTAGATATGTTTCCTTTGCTGTTACGAGGTTTACAACGCTCGGCCTTAGCATCAACTGCCCATCACTTCTTAGTCCTGATCTTTTTTCTGCGATAAAATCTCTTAATTTGCTGTTAAAGCCAAGTTTCCAGATCTTGTAGAACTGCAAAAGTCGATGAATGTAATATAGATCATTAACACTATTCCATCCCAGGAGTGTTAGGATGTTTTCTCCCTTATTTGCACCAGCAACAGCGCATGATGCTGCATATTGAAGCGAAATTATTTTTGGATATTTTCATCTGTCGTATTCGAATAAACAACGTCAGTATAAGAGATTATTTGTAGAATCGAGGTTTTATACAGTATGTTTAACACGTGGAGAGAAAAGATATTTTTTATAAGCTTAAACATACTAAGGATCTTATCACAGCGACTTAATATATAGTCTATATGATTATTCCACGACAGATGATACTGCTTACGCTGTAGAACTTCCTCCAACTCGACTCCCTTTATTTTTATTTTATTATGATAGTTATTGTTATGTATTGAGAAAGTCATTGTTTTACATTTATCAAGATTTAACTTCATTTCCCCAGCAATACACCACCTGGAGATTATTTCTAAATCTCGGATCAACCGACATCATCAGCAAAAAGGCGTAACTCAGAAAATTTTTTCTACCAAAATCCACTTTTGGGCATCCAAACACAATTTCCTTAGAAATGCGAAGGTGATATCAGATAGGAAATTCAATTTTCTACAAACGGAGCTAAAAAACTTTGTTTTAAAAGCCCTGGAACAGCTTGAAAAGTCGAAAACAAGACGGTCGACTAACATCGCTTATTCAGTTTTTGAGATTTTCGGCATCAAGACTTCATCCTAAAACAAAACTAAGGTAATATTTGGAATCAACGTCAACAACTGTACGAGACAATGTGCCTTTGAAGTGACTTAGAGACAAAAAAATCTCCAAAAACTGAAAAAACGATGTTAGTCGGCCGTCTTGTTTTCAACTTTTCAAGTTGTTCCAGGCTTTTTTCCTATCTGATATCACCTTCGCATTTCCAGGGAAATTGTGTCTGGGTGCCCAAAAGTGGGTTTTGGTAGAAAAAATTTGTATGTGAAAATCATAATCCTTCACTTGATGAATCTCAGTGTTGAGTTTAGAAAGGAGAAAGCACATGATTTTGTTTAGTTTTTGACGGTCTTTCGAATGATATATTGCTCGACCAGAACAGATAAAAAATGACAGAGTTATATCGAAAATATGAGAAAATGCTCATTTTTGCAATTCTTCGATGCACCTCATTTTGAAAACTCTGTAACTCGGTCAAAATAAAGTCTGGAAGTGAACAATTTTTTTCGTCACCCCAATTTTGATTGTAGAATCTGAAAATCAAATAAAAATCATATGTCAAATTTTTGCATGTCATCCACTTTCTCGATGGACTGTTGAATTCTGTGTTAAGCGTCTCTTGTAACAGTTATGATATCTCACAACAGAAAAAATTTCAAAAAATTACGGAACAAACAGGACTGGACAAAAAATAGCCCGTAAATCTTTTTTACGAGACAGACGGGTTCGGGACAACGTTATTTACTCCCGGGGGCGGGCTTACGGGACGGAATAAAAACAGTGTTCGAGCTCGGGCCAATGGAAAAGTTTGTCTCGCAGGAGTCTGCATCCGTACCAAGTAGAGAAATAGTTTATCATGAAATTCAAGATTTTTTCATCAAAACTTGTTGGAAGACTTCTTGGAAAACCAGTTGGGTCAATATCCATATCGAACGCTGATTCTTCTGTAATGCCTGTCTCATTCAAACTCAAAACTGTGCTCAGCTTCACCTGTGTGTCGGGCATTATCTGAAGATTCACTTTAGAGTCAATATTAAATTTCGGTCGGTAGATATTGCCTTTTGCGAGACGTTGTTGCCGGAGTACGTCAAAGAGCTGTGACCCGTGACGTTGAAATAATGACACAAAACTTTCAGATCTTCCAGTTGATTAGATAATAGAATTGTAAAGAAAGGTCGACTGGCAGTACTACTTCTAAAGGCCAATGAGACAATCTGTGCGTTAAATTCAGCTGCTGCATTGTAGTAAAGACACCCGGTAAAGTTCTACATATCTGTTCTACTTTTGGGATTAATTCAAAATACATTTCAATAGAGTATTAGGTCTATTTCTGTCTACTACCTGTGCCCTGTAGACTAACCCTTCGTAATAGCGGAAATCGAAATTTGAAAGTTTCTTTGAATGGTTGTTCTCATTCGTCTGTAGTACTAAAAACGAATTTCTTTAAAAAACAAAGGTGCACTTCACTCAAGCATCGCAAACATTCATGTGCAACCAGAGCTCGCAATTAAACCACAGTTGTACTTGGTTAGTTGATTCGAAGGTTATTTCCGATAATGAGAACATTTTGTTTTTTAATCTGTTTGTGTACTCATGCAAACTGCAGTCGGTTTTGGGTTTGACTTTTTGTTATAGACTAGTAGCGGTAGTTTATTATTAATTATGTCGTACGTTTGTTGAATTAATTTGTGTAATGTTAGAACAGTTGTTTTCTCTGCTAGATCCATAAGATTTTCCTTAGCTTCGTCGTTTCGTCCTTTGATGTGGGCGGCTGATGATACAAGTTGATTAATCTGTCGTAATTCTGTAATTAAATCCTCTTTCTTCGTAACAGTACCACTGATTGATTTGACTCCGCTTTCGTTTTGTACCACATCGATAATGTTACCAACCATCCGGCTATTTATAACTGGTAGCTTGAGTTCAATCAATTCAGAGAAACGATCTTTTAAATTCGATTCGATTATTTGACGGATGTATACTAGAACGTTGGCTTTCACGCCAATGTCGTCCGTCCCTCCTCGTCGATAATCTTCGAGAGCAGATACACAGGCTTTGTATCGTCCACCAGCTATTTTCACTATATCTTTATCCCTAAGCAGAAGACGCAAAGGTGCAATGAAAAGTACAATGCTTAATGTTCTTTGTGAGGAAATAACTTTCTACTTACACTAAACTGGATGTTTTTTCAATATCATTAATCTTTATTTCAAATTCAGCTGTTGTAACAGTTTTAATATCATCCTTCTCTTGTTTCTTGTTCACACTGATGAGTAAGTCGTTCAAAATATGTGCATCATGACTGAGAACAATAGCTTGTGAGATAGCATCATTAAATAATAGATCACGAATAATTTCAATTGTTACATCTCGTCTGTGAGAATCAAAACTAGTAACCGGATCATCAAAGACCAATGTCGGTCTCGTCGCTGGGCTGGATGAGTCCTCAATAGCGTAATCAAGTTTTGTCAGAAAAAATGCTAGAGCAAGGGCACTACGATCGCCTTCACTCAGAAATTCTGCATTAATTGGGTTTGATGTTGGCAGGGGATTTTTTGCAGTTATATCATATGTGATGGTTCTGATTTGATGAATGTCGGACCTTGTAAGTTAGAGAAAAGGGGAAAATATGTTAATAGAGAGTAAGAGATTCGGAGAATCCCCGTCGTGGAATATATAATCCGTGCTAGCACTCTTTTAACGCTAATCTTTTGAGAAATACAATTATGGAAGTCTTCTTACAGCCAGATGTCCAGCAAAGCCTTGAAAAAAGGGCGAAGTGCTCCACTACAAAGACCTTTTCTGCTTATTTTACTTTCTTCAGTGAAACTGCATCTAAAGTCGTTCTAAATATGTACAAAATACTTGCCTTCGAAAAGAAAAAAGCTGTGGGTTTAGCCAAAGCGATTCAGTGTTAATTATGTGTTAACCTTAATCTAGCGAGTTAGTTCGAAACTGTAAAACTCAATTTTCCCAATATAAGTAAAGCAGAGTTAAAAAACTAATATCGCTTACATGAGAGTTAACCTGACGGGATTTATACGGAGATTTTGCAGCTGAAAATCAGCACAGAACTTTTGCAGATAATCGTTGACACGCTGTTGATATTCTAGCAGAAACTCATTTACCGCGGTCTCTTCTGTCTTGAGGCAATCTAAAACAACTGAAACATCATTAAAGACGAGCGAAGCAGCTCTATTTTTAGCTAGACAACTCTACTCACCTTCTACCTTTTTCTTCTGCTCATGAATAACTTCATCACTGAATCTTATCAGCTTCGCCTCGGTACTCTTTTTATCCAATACATCCCAGTGCTGAAGAAGAACAGTTTTAGTTTCGTTTCGTAGCGCCGTAAATCGATCACCACCACATAAACTGAGTGGTGGCTTGGGACTTGCAAAGAATTGGCGACAAAAATGACTGTCAAATGTTTGGGTAAAGTTTATTCCATTTCTCTTTTTCGTATTTGTAAACAGTTTCATCATAATCGAGAATTTCAATACATTGCAAAGATTGTAACGTAACGGCTGCTTGATTTGAAGTATCCTCTGTAGTAGGTGCTGTTGAATTGGGTAAGTACTGAACAGCTGATTTACGTTTCACCATTCCACCAGGGTCACCACTCGTCATGGAACGGCAAATAGCTGCCAGTGTCGTTTTACCACTACCATTTGAGCCATAGATCACTGTTAGCTTTTTAAAGAGAACTTCATCTGGATAGCCACCCGCATATAAACGAAATCGGCCAACATTTTCTATTTTTTTAATTTTACGGATCATGACTACCCAAAACAGAAGAGAAACTGCGCTACAAAATTCAGGCAATGATAGTTAGCTCATGGACGGAGAGGAAAAGCTTTAATGCGTTCCACGAAAACATTCTGTCAAAAAAAAAAACGCTGAAAAGTAGCGTTTTTGATTTATAAAACCGCGAAGCAATTTTTTGTTTGAAGAATACGCTGAAAAACGGAAATTTCAGAAAGAGTGAAAAACAACTAAAAACGAAGTAAGTAATGCAAATTCTTTTGCCGCAGTTTGCGTTTCTTAGCATACTCCTCAAATAACAAAATTGCTTCGCGTTTTTTAAATCAAAAACGCTAGTTGTCGGAGTCTGCCTACCGTTAAAACGGTGTGAGAAATTTTGGCCAAAGAAAACGTCGAAAAACGCAGTCTTCAGAAGACCAAGTTTTCCGCGTTACTATGGACCGAAAATGCTAGTTTTTGTGTCTCTTTCCTTTTCATACGCTAAGAAACGCACCTAGGTCGTATAGAGTGCGCTTTACAGCGAACGAAAAGAGGGTGCATAAAAAAGCGGTTGTTTGTATTATAAACGCCGTTTTTCGTGTACATCCCTTTTCATACGCTGAAAAACGCGCTCTGTACTACTTCGACGCGTTTCTTAGCGTATGAAAAGGAAAGAGAAGGGAAAATCTATTTGTCATATTCATATTACTTTGCTCAAACAAAAACAGATGTGTTTGAGTAAAGTAACAGAGATATGCTAAATAGAATTTAATCAGAGTCTTCTAACTAATAATAATCATGTTTATAAATCGAATATAGAACTGCTATGAATAACATGACTTTCAGTCTTGAAAATACTTCATTCGAGCTTTCGCCAGCTTTCAGTTGGCATCATCAGGAATGTAATAGACATTCGAACAAACGATGGTATAAAAAGAAGCGAATAGATAAGAAGGATAGAACAGAAAAATAACTCAAGGAGAACTTGTAGTTGGCATAGCTGCACGTTTCTTTCTTTAAATTCATCAGTTCGTACAAGTTCTCCTTGAGTTATTTTTCTTTTTCTGTTCTATCCTTCTTATCTATTCGCTTCTTTTTATACCATCGTTTGTTCGAATGTCTATTACATTCCTGATGATGCCAA